TCCAATATTATTCTTTTTAGTAAAAATGAAATTAAGGTTTTAAAAAAAATGGGTAAGAGTTCTGTAACAAATGGCAGGTCTTTTCCAAATGTTCCACAGTCCAAATATTTGTATCAGCTACATACACCTGTAAAATTATATTGATTCTCAAAAAATGGTTCCTTGATTTACACTTACCTGGGTTTTTGGTAGAAGAGATTCATTTCACTATGTTAACATGTTTTTGTTGATTTGTTTATTTAGCATTTATCAAAGTTTAAAAAATAAAAACTTATGATCAGAAAATTTTCTAGATACCTTCCAAGCATTTATTTGTTAAATGTAAATTTAAAATGCATGGAGCAGTTGAGGGGGATTGCCAAGAATCCTGGATGAACATTCTTATCAGCTGTCACTTGACTAGAAATTATACTTCTCCTCTGCATTTGAGATCTTTTCCTAGTCATCTTCTTGGTCGGTTTCCAAACAGTACAAACAAATTTTGTAAGAAAGGATAAAGAGAGATAGGGCAAAGTACAAAGAAAAAAACAACTAAAAACCAACACCCCCCAAATAATTAAAATAGAATCTACCTCTGAAGATGTGGAACACTTTTCTTTTATAGAATAATGAAATTATGTGAATAAAATTAATAAGAAAAACAAGTTTATCTAGTTTTCCTCTCATGCTGTAGTTAGCTCTTTATCCCTCATGCTACAGCAGTGGTTCTCAACCTTCCTAATTGCCCCGCTGTTACAAATGGAACAGAGGGGTGGCCACCCACAGGTTGAGAACTACTGTGCTAGAGAATACAGTGACAATTGAATTTCTAAGATTGCAATCTCAGTCATTTTTTTTTAAAGAAATGAGTTGATGTTTTCTAGGTATTTGGGAATATGGATGTACATTTGAATAACGACTGGTATTTAAAAGGGGGGGCAAACTAATTTTTGAATACGATATTGCATTTGAATTATTCACACCTGGCTCACCTCCATTTAAAATCTATGATGTCAATAGCATATCATTAAGAAAGTGGTAAGCTTAGTGAAACTAATAAGAAGTAATAATGGTTTATATCAAGAGTTTTATATTTAAAGAACAATTAGATTTACTGAATTGTGGTTGAATGATTTCTATATATTCTTTTCCTCTGGAATTGCAATAATGTTTTGTGAAAACAGAAATGTGTATATTTAAAGCAAATGAGTACACATGCGGGTCTCTAAGCCCCAAAGGCTTTCTAATCTTGAAGATTTAGCAATTTTGAAAATTTATTTAACGAATACCATAGTGTACTCCATAGAAAGATTCAAAAAGCTTCAGGAAATTGTTTCTATCACTCTAGTTTTTAGCATATGAAATACTTTTGATTGAATTAAATCTAGTATTCTTTGCAAGGTGCCTTATTTCACATTCTGAGGAAGAATACCATATTCTTTTAAGGAGGGTAAAACTTGCTACATACTAATTTTGATCTTCGTTTCATCAGGCCTCCAGGTTTATCACGTTTATTCCATTAATAATTATTTTAATGGCAGGCTGGAAACTGAATGAAATATATTTTCCTTTCACTTATTTATTATACGTACTCGTTAAGCAGCAAGTATATCCCAAGTCAAGCGGAGACAACAAAGGACAAAGTCAAGATAGCATTCTCCTTCTTTGTCTATCACTGGGAAAGAGAAAATTCATCATGAGGAGGGATGAATGGTCAAGTGATGGAGGAAGTGTGTGCTGCTATAAAATCCTGTAGATGAACGGCTAAGGGCAATGAGGAAACAGTCAAGGATTACAGCAACGTGACCTGATCACATATTCATTTTAGTCTGATAGCAGGGAAGAAATCGGTTTGATAGGTGGGAAGACGAGACATAGGAAAAATGATCATGAAGTTACTGCAGTAAAGTGGGCCATCACTAAGGTAGGAAGAGTTAGTGGAAGAAAAGATAGAGGCAGGTCTGAAAGAATTGAGGAGCAAGGATCTCCTAAGTAGAGGAAGGTTTCAAGGACGTTTAAAACAATCTATAACACGATATCTTAATCCAGGATACATGGAAGAAACACTAATAAGCCTGTAACATTTCCGTACTCAAGCCTAGGGGCGGACTTGCTGAGGCAGAATCTCCAGAACGTGCCCCAGCTGTTACCCCCTTCAGACTTGGTGATTGAGTTAAAATTCACTCTCACAGTTCTATTCACTTTCAAACTTATACCTTATTAAAAGTCCACATAATAAACTAGCAGGACAAATATAATTCCCAAAGCCGGAAAACTTCAATATTATTTATGTTGCCATGGGAACAGCACAAAATGAAGTACTGATTACCAGAATGAATTACTTGATGAAAATTTTTTTATCAAATCCAAACTAGGTAGAATACTAAGTAATGTAATGCCAGTGAATGACAAAATAACTAAAAGGATGAAAATTTGGAATCAGCTAATGGGATTTTTTTCTTCTTCTTTTTTAAAATTTTTTTATTTTGCAAGTCTCCCTCAGTCATCAAGGCTAGAGTGCAGAGGCTGGTTATACAGCACAGCAACCTCTAACTACTGAGCTCAAGCCACCCTCCTGCCTAAGCCTGCCAAGTGGCTGAGAGTACAGACATGAGCCACCATACCTGGATAATTTTTTTCTGTTTTTAATAGACCTGAGGTTTTGCTCTTACTCAGCCTGGTCTCAAAGTCCAGACTTCAAGCCATCCTCCCACCGGTGCTTCCCAGAGTGCTAGAAATACTGGCATGAGCCACTGTGCCTGCTATTTGCTATTCTTTATTGACAGTAAAGACGCCCTGCTCTACAAATGAGCCATACAAACATATATACAATTATTCCTCACTCACTCTATGTCAGTTATAAATATCTTTTCAGTTTCTTCAAATACTTATTAATGAAGAAAAACAGATGGAAGTATGAAAACAATCTCAATGCATTCTGAATATTAACTCTGTAGTGAAGATTACTGAATATTTTAAAGTTATAAAATTAATTACCCAAAGAAGGCCCCCTGACACCTCCCATCACATCTTCCTAATTCCCTTCTACTTGAATTGATCTGTTATTAATATCCAGATCAAAGGAAAAGGGAAAAAGCTAAATAGTTGAATGTTATTAACTTCGAGATTAATATGTTTTAATATAAGAATATAATTAAGTTTGCCTTGTTCAAAGAGGCTCTGATCACATGGTAAGCCAAAGGTCAGGAAGATTCTTATTTATCTATCCATTTGCAGAAGAATATTTATTTTGTCAGTATAAAAATTATATGGTCATACATGTTGTGGTGTGCTGGTAAATACTTATCAACAGGCTTGCCAAAAATAAAAAGCCTAATTTGCTGAGGTTGCCAATTTCTGTGGAATAAATACTCCCATGTGGCTGATTCTGAGTTATCAAAATGACATAAGTGAATCTACAATTTGGAAATATGCAGAGTAGCTATTATAATGTACTTCTAGAACACAAATCCAAAACATGTAAGTAATTGTACAATATAGATAATACAGGGAGTCCCAAACGTTGTATACACATTTTAAGAAAGGAAAGAATTATATTAAATTTAAAATAAACAATTCACATTTGATTTCTGCTATTTCGCTTGATCTTAGCCAAAAGGCCAAGAAGTGGTAACTTCTGCTATTTCAAGAGGTGCTCAATGGAAGTTGTATTTTTCTTTCATTATCGGTATATATTGAGTATTACAAATTTAATGCAGTTTTTCCCTTTCTTATGTGTATGTTTTTGACACCCTCTACAGTAAAATAAATAGGAAATATTTTTTGGGTACTGATTACACATTAAAAATGTATCTGTTTATTTATAAATTTAGATAACTTATTTTTATATCTTTGTTTAATTGATACCTCTCATAACTCTTGAATTCTAATAGTGATCAGGTGTGTTATAGGATACCACTCTAGCACACCACTTATAGAATCTAGACACAAAGACTGCCCCAGCGAGAAAAATGGTCTGGGATACAGAGAAGATCTCTTAAACTAAAACTAACACTTATAACGATAATGAGAACACATAAATGGATGCCCGCCCATAATCTATGGCAATCCTTTCTCTTCAATTTCATTCTTTCTTCCTGATTGAATTTTGGCCTCTAGTGGTAGCTTCTAGAAGTATTATTATTATCAAAATGTTAAAAAAAATCTTAATAATCATCATCATAACATAGCCATTATACTATTTTTTCTAAATAACATATTTTTTCTTACACTACTTATTAGTATCTTGTATCAACTAAATCTCTTGAAAGATACAATAAAAAGTCACTGAACCTGGAGCCACAAATCTTAGCCTGTTTTCCGGAATTCGGACTACTAGAGAAAAATCATTTAATATTTCTGAACTTAAATTACCATACCTATGAACTATTATTAGCATGCACACATGCTAATTTATAGAAAAAGAAAATAAGAGTTGCAATTATAAAAATCAAACCATGGCGTATTTGAATCCTTCCTAAACAATGGCTGATTTCTGGGCATAAAGGTAAAAGGGGTTCATTGTGTGGCTTCCTTACCAGCTTGTTATTTGAATAACTAAGCACAGGCTGTGGGAAGGCATTGTCTTCATCAGGGAAAATCATTCAAACCTCCAGTTGGAATTTTACTGGATTGGTTATTACTGGAACAAAAGTGACTAAATCAACGACTTTTATGGCACTATATGAAGTACATTAAACAGGTCTCTCCGTAGCTTTGTAGATGAATATAAACTTAACTTAAAAGCTGATGCACATTCTCTCTTGCCTGACAAATAAGGAAAAGCTAAGAATCAATTTAATCATTTTTACTTCATGCATAAAATCTTAGAATTTTAGAGCTGAAGCGTACCTTATACCCTAGAATTCCAAACCCTTCACTCTCCATATAATTAAAGCTAAGCTCCATGAGGACACTGCCCAGTGCTGTACAGTTAATAACTGACAGAGCAGGATCTAACGGGTCTGCAGACTTCACTGTCGACCAGCACTGAAGGACAGTAATCTCAAGTAAACGGTTACCTCTTGCAGGACTCTCTTCATCTTTAATAACAGCGTCTTGACTGCTGTGCAGTCCTGTAACATCAGTCGGAACGGCAGAGAATCTACGCCGCCGTTTTCCTCCACACCTTGCAGGGGCCAATCTGCGGATGGACTGCTGGGCATGCGGCTGACATGAGAGCACCTGGCTTCCTGGTCCACGTCTTTTGTTAATTTCAGGGAAAGGTTCCTAATGAGGAGGGAAAAAAAACCAAAACAACAAAAATTACAATGCATCATGCATTTCCAAAGCTGTCAATCGATGTTACCAGCATGACAGAAAAAAATTTCTTGTGACCCTCATCCCTTCTTCATATTTATCTTTGAAAATTCTCAGGCCTTCTGTAGAAATTACGAATTGAGCCAACTGCATAGTCAGTGGTGAGGTACAGTGGCAATGAACTGTTGCAGATTATAATCTTTCCCCAACTAGCATTTCATTTATGCATGATAACATATTTAACTCTTTAAGGTGTGAAAGAAAAAGTCCATATCTAGGCTTTTGAAAATACATGTATGGTTAAAAATTAACTGGAAAGAAATGATTAAGAAGCAGAAAATTAAGAGAAAATAAATTTGGTAATGGTGATTAAGAAAGGCAGTATACATAGTATTTTTTTTAAAGTGACAAAAATGAAAAGGACATAACTCTTATGTATGTATCTACACACATCTACCCTGAAGTGACATAGAATATGCCATTGCAAAATTGGCTACTTTGGCAAAAGGATCATTTTCAGCTGAAAGCAACTGAGGAGAAGCCACTACAAGAAAACTCCCTGCCCTCCATTTGCCTAAAAGCAGATGACAATTTACAAAGACGTCCCTCCTCCCCTCTCTAGCAGGAAGGACACAAGTTAATTAGGAGAGACAATTCTAGACTCATATTAGCTGGGAAATATTACCCAAGGAATCTACATAACAAACCTCACTAACTAGCCCTCATCTTCCACTCTTCCTCCAGACATTATCTTCCTACAATGTGCCAACCTCAAAACTCAATCTGTATGTGGAAATTGAAGGTCCTGGCCACAGTCCTGGTCAAGCAGGCAGGAAGAGTTAAGATTGCCCTGCCATAGCTGGTGACCTGGTGATGCACACTGGCCCTCAAGTTCATGTTTCTATGTTTTTGCTTGCCTATATAGCCACCCACTTGCAGTTTCTGGGTGCACCATGGAGAACCGCCTGGCCTGCCACCCCTGGTGCACGTTGATTCACCAAATGATCTCAGGTCTCTTTTCTTTGGTCCTCCATTTCATTCTTCCTTTGTTTTGTCACTTTCTAAACATTTATTTGTTGAGCAAATGGATAAGCCCACGTTTTAACCATCGCTATGAGTTACTCATCATTGAGTATGTGTCTCCAGGATATACACATTTATAAAAATTCTCTTGTTTTTCTCTTGCTAATCTGCCTCTTGCCAGTCAAATTTACAAGCTCCCAGTCCAAGATGACTGTAAATTGTGTAGAAGAGAAAGGAAACTTTTTCTTCCATACACATAATTCTCATATAATGGTTAAATTTTTAGGATAAGAATGAATGCAAAATCAAACACTTGTATTTATTTTGATTTAGTTTACAATAAGCTGTTATTTGAAAATAATGCATTTTAAACATCATTTAATAAGACTTATATTGAAGACACATGTAAAAATAAAAATGACATTAAGATAGACAGTTTTCCAAAAGTAAAAATCAGGTAGACTTAAAAATCATGTGAGAAAAGAACACCATGACAATTGTGCTTTTTTCAATATTTGTGTAAATTTGTATCTATTTGTTAAAGCCAAGAGACTATACAATAATGGTAATAATTCAGAATATTTATTAAAAATAGCTTAGGATTTGTGCTGAATTTCAACACCATATTTATATACATATATGAGATATAAATACACACATACATATCATTTTCTATATTATAAGACAAGATTATTGACTAACCTGAATAAAGAAAGAAAAAAATACACTGGTATTTGCCACTGAGATCAGGTAAAGATAAAAATGAGAAAATACATCAGAAGAAAAAGAAAATACATCTTTATTAATTTTATTTAAATCTAATTATTCGTAAACAGCATAATTTAATTTCCAAATTACCAGACAATAAAGAAAACACACTTTTGTGTTTTCTTGTTTACTTTTGTTTACTTGCCTTCACAGGAATAGTGAAAAGAGTCATCACTACCCCGACTCTATACTGAAATACTAAAGGATCATGGCTATGGTTTGTTGAAGGCTGACTATTGGCCAAGTAATATGCTAACCACTTCATGTATGTTAATTCATTCAAACCCTGAAGACAGAGAAAAGGGACATCTTCATATTCTATTAGGAAACTGAGCCACAGAACTAACTTTTCTCAGAGTTAAGAAGTGGACCGGACATGTACTAACTCAAGCACGTTTACAACACAAGATTCTTTCCTGACTAACACACGATGTGCATATATGTGAGGCCAATACTTACATTGTACTTATTATACCTTAATACTCTTATATGGTCTTTAACACCGTAAACCATCTGATGCTCACAACAACACTTTTAGGTTGGTACCACCATAATCCACATTTCTCGATGGAGGTATTTGAGTCAGAGAGGTAAAGTAACCTATCAGTGGTCATACATCTGAGAAGGGACACCCCTGAGAGATGAAGGTATGCTAGCTTCAACCACAAACCAATGCCAAAAACAAGACAGCAAGCGAACAAAAACAACACACTTACAGTTAGACAGAGAATAACTGTTTTCACTTCAAAATATATATTTACCTGATATGACTGAATCATTGTAATTATACTATTTAATCCTTTAATTATACTATTTAACTGTAGTCAACTACATAAACATTCTTAAAGGTTCCTATTTGATGTTAATGCCATCTGTTTATTTTTTCTAATAAGAATGCAATAGAGTATAAAAATTAGAAGACGTAGTACATGTATAGTAAATCACAGTAGTATCTCACACAAGTATTTTAGTAAAAACAGAATTTTCAAAGTTAGATCAGGATTAAGTTGTGAACTAGCCTGGTGTTTGGCCCATATTAGATTGTAGCAAATAATTGTACAGCTGATACTGATACATAAATACAATAACAAGTGAATAAATAAAGCACAATTCCTTGTAATAATCTATGCATACAACTCTCATTTACACAGAAATTTTTCCACATGGTAAGTTGTTATGTATTATAGAGCTGCCACCCGTGGTTCTAAGTTCCCCAGCATGCTTCACAACAAAATAATTAAATAAGCATTTTTATAATTCCTTTTAGTTTCCTGATTCTTTAAAACTGTCCAATTTGGGATCTAAACATCCGTGAGGACTGATCAAACTCTCAAGAGCCATGCTAATGTAAAGTTCTAACACTGTATTTCAAGGAATTATTGACAATTATTATTTACCACTTATAAATTTAAGGATCTCTGTCATTTTCAAACAGTTAAGATAAGCCATATACAGATACACATTCAGAAGGTAAAATTAGCCATTTGTTTTATACCTCAATAATTTGGACCTATTCTTTATTACAAAAGAGAATGATGGTTATTTTTCACTATTTCTGAAAATGTGAAAAGCAAGAGTGGATGAAGTTTCAGAGATTAGGAGGATTCTGTCACTGACTTCAAGAGATTATCTACAGTTATTAACTTAATAGTTGATACCAAAGAGTAATAACTAATACTAATTCACATAGAAAAAACAAATCAATTTCTCTTGAAACATATCACTCCACACTAAAAACAGACCTGCTACAAGTTGTAGGCATCAGACCATTCTTACCGAGGTGTAGCAGGGCCAGTACCCGGCCTCCAGGGCCAGCACAGCCTGTTTTGTTTATGGCCACTGTCCTCTGGATTTATTGGTGCCTCTGGTTTACAATTGTTTGATATTTTGACCATTAATGTGTTTAAGAACAGGTATTATTGGACCCCAAATACCCAAACGTCCTTGGGTAAACTCACCTAAAATATATGCTGGTGGTTGACAAGAAAAATCTCTATAATGTGAGGCCCTGGTGTCCTCAGTACAGACAACCCATAAAAAGGCCAGTGAGAGTGGAACAAGACGCAGGTGATCTCATGTTCCTGCATTAGCAGGGTTCACTCGAGATAATACAATTCACGCACTTTCAGATATATAACTCCCTCTGTCTCTGCCAACTCTCTGAATTACAGTTTCAGGGAATTGAAAAAATGTGCTTTATATCACAGAAGACAGTCACTTAACTTGGCAAAAAAAAAAAAAAAAGCATGATATTGAAGCTGGATACAGTATTTCATTAATCACTGTAACTACTATAAACAAAAGATCAAAGACAAGGTAATCTCCACTGAGCGTATTTACACACATTTTACCCATCCATGTCAACTCCATGAATCTACAGTACAATTGCTCAGTAATACTTACATGTGCTTTATTACTTATGAATGCTGAACAAATTTTTAAAATTTAAAATTTAGTGATGTTTAGCTAAAGCTGAATTGAGACTTACAAACATTTCTCTGTCCATAAATTCCACAAGATCAGTTCTTTGTAAAATTAATAGCAAAACTCATAAATATCACATGAAATGTATTCTTGAAAGATTAGCGAAGTCGAGACTTTGAACTGGTTTCAACATTTAACCTGAAGAACTTTGGTGAATTGGCTTCGCATTATTGTCACTGGGATGCTTTGTGTGAAAGGAATTTTCTACCAAGCTAGTTCAAAAAATGCTTCTGTAATTCTATTTTCAAATGAACATACAAGTTTAATGAGAAAACATTTAACTTGACATGAGCCACAGAATGATTAAAACACGTTTCCCTACCAGAGAGCAAAAATAAAAATATTTTCATACTTTTTTTCTCATTCAGTTACAATTAGAAGCATCATTTTGACAGTGAGAAGTTTTTCTTCCCACCCGTATGTACTCTTCAAATCAAGTGAAAACTCCCCAATAACGGTGAAAATAACTAACTACAAGCTGATGTCAGATGCACAGTGTTGATTTTCTTCCCTGTCAGATAAGCCCCTCCTTATTCATTGCAGTGACATCTTTCCCATCTATGGCCAAAAAAGCATCTCAATGTTCTACACTGTATAACGTGACTGATTTCTGAACCACATTTCCAAGAACAGAAAAGCCAGAGTAACTTCTGTTTGCCCAGCATAAGCAATAAGCATATGCAAATGACTGCCTT